ACAGTATAATAACCGCGTCATAGTAAAATTACTTTTTCTCTCTCTTTCTCCTCTTTCACAATGACTAACACTTAAGTAAATTTAGTAAGTAAAAGTTAAGTAAATTTATATGTAGTGTTTTTTAGGTATATTAAATGTTTTTGATATCCTATCCATAAGTATTAATATGAGATATTATAGTTAAGACATTATTAATACTGTTTGAAAAGGTATAAAATAATAAGTGCACATTTTAATTATAATTATATTTTTCATGAATGAATTGTGATAATAGACCATGGCAATTTAAGCTGATGTTATTTTTTATGTACGTCTACAAACATTATTGGTTGGAACAATACATTTTTGTTCCGTATTACCCCGTATACATGGTTCATGCACTTATATTTAAATATAACACAGGATTCATCTATATCCGCATATAAGTGTTACACATCTGGGGCTCACAATCAGGTTCGCCAAGTCGACTAGGGGTGTACATAGTGTGACCAGGTGGGAAAATCATAATAGTGTACAAAAGCTAAAAATATTGGTAAAAATAGTGTACAAATAGTGTACATGATATTTATTCCAAAATTTTCATGTAATTATATTCATATTACAGAAGCCGAGACAAAATGAATTTTTTTTAAATAAATGTTATTTAACAATTACAATAAATCTGTATAATTCAACATTCAATGTTATAAATATATTACATTATTTTGTTTAAGCATAACCCATTTACACGTCATATTAGTTATCTAGATAACTAGTTTCTAATATAAAGTTAGTGTTGTTGTCGTGTCTCGAGACCTAACTGTAAGGCAAAGTAGTTGTCACTAAATATTAATGTTAAAATATTTTCATTCATTAATTTAAACAATTAAAGACTGTAACGAATTTATGATTACAATTATTAACAGTTTATTTCTAATTAAATTATATCTATTGAGAAAATATACTATTCTTTAGTTTTGCGAAACAAAATCTCATAGAAAACTGAGTTATTATTAGATTTAAGTTTTTTTAACACTTTATTAAAGTCCTTGTGATGAGTGATAACAGTGTTATCAATAGACCACTCGTTATGTTTGGCCAACACTTCCCTACATTCGGGTCTTTTTCTCCATTTCGGTGTTTTCATCATTTTTGCGAGTATTTGAGACAAACATAGTATACATGTCTTAAACAGTGAGTCCTTTGCTTCAAATGATTGCGAGCTATAAATCCATAGGAAATACAAAATATAATAATTATAATAATTTATTAAAATAATAATAAAAATCAATATTTATTACGCCTGAAGATCGATACCAAACATCTGTTCGCCGATTATAGAGAGACTATAAATGTCTGATTTGTGGTTATATTCGCGACAATGAATCACTTCGGGAGACATATACTGAATACTACCCACACCTGACGTATGGCCGTATCGGCTGGCAGTGTGTCTATCGGTGTTGTGATCAGTGGCTAAACCAAAGTCACACAGTTTTACACAACGATTGCACTTAAAGTTGTGATCAATTAATATATTGTCGGGTTTGAGATCCCGATGAATGACCACTGGATTAAATTCATGAAGATATTGAACGCATTCTAAAATCTCTTTAAATATTTCACATGAAATGAAAAACTCAAAGACATTCATCTCTTCTTCCGGTTGTCTCTCGAAGACAATGGGTTTGTCTTTGAGAATAGATTTGAGATTTTGTGAACAGAACTCCATTTGAATGAAGAGATGATTGGACTCAAGCCATGAGTGATAATACTTTACCACAAAATCTGAGTTTAGTTTTGCCAAACTTTTTACTTCTTTTAAAACATTTTGTTTCTTTTCTTCACTGAAATCTATATAAATATTTCATTAAATATTTTGCTATAAATTTTTAGCGATTACAACAAATATTCATTGAATTTACCCCCAAATTGTACTCTTTTAACGGCATATATTTTGTCATCCAATCTATGCTTTACTTTAAATACAGTCCCAAAACAACCCGAACCTATGGCTGACATCTCAATGAATTGGGTTTTGAAATTGCCATCACATAAATTCGTCTCTCGTTTTACTTTTTATCGAAATAACAAATTAATAATTAATTATAAATTATATTTATATTGTGTATAAAAATGCACTCAAATTACCAGTTGTTTGCTGTGAACCTATTGTATTGCTATTACTGCCAAATTTTTCTATAATTTTCGCAAACTTTGTTTCATCATTTAAATTATCATTAATATTAGTACCAATTTTGTAGTCTTTTTTATCTGATAAATGTTTTTTATTATCTGTGAAATAATGTGAATATTATATAATATAACATAATTTAAGTGCTATATTAAAGTACCATGCTGGTAGAGGTGGGCATTATCATTTTGCGGGTTATAACGCACTCCAAAAGTTTTAGGGCAACTCGACTGTTGTTTTGGTTCATTTTGTTCACACTTTGCAGACACTGTTTGGTTGTCAATAACTAACAGAAATTAAGTAATTGTTAATTAATTAATTTTAATAAAAGTGGACTAAAATTGTAATTTTGTTTCACATTTATTATACCTTTGCTATGACTGGCCATAAGTTGTATTGGTTTGGCTTTGGTTTCATTTTCTCCATTATTTGACTTATCACTCATTTTTTTCAAATTAATTGTATTATAAGTTATTTTGTGTTCATTGGCGTAAAAGTCAATAAAATTATTACAATTTGTTTCAATTAATTTGTATTCATTTGATATTTTATATATTTTATCGTTTAAAACACAAATGAAATCATGATTCAAATTAATCCATGAATTAATTTGTGCTAATTTTTGGACGTGATGTTCAATTAGTACTCGTTTCGGAATTTTTTCAATCATTTGTTTATTGTTTTCATAATATTTTCCACAACAATATAAACCATTTGTTGTCAGGAAATATGTTCCAAAATAATTACAACTAATTGTTTTCACATTATTTAAGTTTGATATGAATCGGGGTTTCAATACTTCATCATCTGTTATATTTAAAGAATGGTTTGGTTATGGAAACTGTAACCAAACCATACAGTATTTGCTATATAATGTGACTTTGATTATTACATTGCTGTACATTCGCCGTAAAATTATATAACAACTACTGTATTGTTTCGTACCGTTTCTAAAACCAAACCATCCTCTCTGTCCTAATTGATGGCCACTATTGTCACCCCAACTGAAGACATGTCCATCACATGTGATGGCAAATGAAGAGTCTGTATAACAATAAATGGATTGTATTTTATAATTATTATTGAATTGTATTTCAATCGGTGTATAAATATTATCACAATTTCCACAACCAATTTGTCCCAATCTATTGCCACCCCAGGCATAGACCCGACCATCACTTGTGAGGGCCAGAGTGTGAAAAAAACCACAACTGATTTGTTCGACGTTTTTATTATTAAAATATGATATAATCTCTGGTTTATAACAAACACTTTGTATTTCATTACTAGTTATTACATTTCGTGCCAATTGACCACGATCATTACATCCAAACCCATATATTATATTCATATCATTCACTGCTAACACAAAATCACATCCATTTCTAAAGTATTGTATGTTTTGATGACATAATTGTGGTATTATTTCTGGTGATAGTATAGGACTGTTGTGTCCAAAACCCAGAAATCCATTATTATTACTGCCCAAACCATAGACCATATCATTGTTTGTCACAAATAATACATTATAGTCATTACCCCAATGGCTAACAACATGTATTTTTGTAATATTTCGTCTAATATTTATCGAGATTTTATGACAAACTGAAAACTTGTCTATAAATTCACACATTTTAACAAATATTTAAATACAATTACAAAACATAATTACAAAAAAATATTAAATATATTATAACTAATAGTAAAGAAATACAAAGAAATTAATGGTTTTATTGCTATAATCAGTGAAAACTATTGGAGACAAGGATTTGATAACTAAAGTATTTCATACAATATATGATAATAACCATGAGTGGCATAAATTAGAGAAAAAGTAATTTTACTATGACGCGGTTATTATACTGTAGGCTTCTAAGGCCTAAAAATATCAGTCAAGATAATAACTATAGTTTAGACAGTATTTTAAAATACATGCCATCCCTGAGTGTTTCGGTCATCCGATTTGTAATAATTACTTTTAACGTCGAGAGCATTAGAGTTGACATCTCTTTCTCCAAAACCGTCCGGTTTTGCGGGTTTTGAAAACAACAGGCGATTAGCGTCGGGAACAACACCCGAGACAGTCGATCGTCGCTGAAGTACTCGA